CCAATAATATTAATTAGAACAGAACCTTTAGGTTAAAACCGGGTGATCCAGCTGTGATTTCAGAAATATAAATAGAACCATAATTCATGAAAATGACAAATGTTCCTCCCGTTAGCTAAGATTTAACTACCAGTCACGTCTTCCTTCCTTCCTTGTCCCCTCTTCCAAGTTTACGTATAGTAAACCTTTCCTAGTTTTGTAATGAAGATCACATAGCAGTTTATAATTAAATAGTGGAAATGAAATGTTCTGTTGTATTACTTCTGACTCGATCTTAATTTTTCAATTTCTGATTAAAGGCACTGTAAATTTAAAGCCTTGTAAACTCTCTTTTATTTAGGAATTGCTACTCGCAAGTGTATGAAAACTGTGAAGTTTGCAAAATGTTTTACATAGTGTTCCAAATATCATCTGTCAGAGTATGAACATGTGCTAGCTACAGCAATATGTTAAATAAGGCAAAAAAGAATTTTCTTTGCGTCACTTTCCACACTCTCTGCAGACTGTAAGACTAGATCTTGAGTAAAATAAAGAGGGTAGAGAAGCAATTAGGATCAATTTAATCAGTATAAATGGTTATTCTGGTTAACTGTTGCCTAGAGCTAGCTCTCTTTTAGAAGGCTCTGTCCACTTGGACGTAGTTCATATATAATACGAGCAGTGACCTTGTCTAAGCTGCCACATCCCCAGCACCTAGAATAGTGTTGGGCACAAAATAGGAGTTAAATAAATACTTGTTGAATAAATGACTATACTAAAGTAGTACTACTTCTTAATTTTATTAACATACTAGTATGTTCAAAGCATTGGGTTAAAGATGTATATCATCTCATTTAATTCTTAAATTATTATCCCTGCTATACGTAAAGATCAAGAGGAAGCAGGCTTATTGGGGTGAAATCACTTTCCTCTTGTTAGGAGCTGGTAGTAGTAGAGCCAAGACTGAAAACTTGGCTCTGTTGTGTTGGACTCTGAGATCCAGACTCTTAGTTCAAAAGCTTATGATGGAAGAGGTTTTCCCCCCACTTTTGGTACATACACTATTACTATGTCTAAATTTAAAATCCAGTTTATTTTGAAATATGATGAAGTGGTGGCATTTTATTCAAATCCATTTTTCTTAATGAACTCTAATAGGTTTTCCATTTCTCTGTTCTTTGAGTACTAGAACTGGATTAGTGTATGTAACTATAAAAGCGACTGAAATGTAAATTTAACATTTTCTATGTTAATATGATGAGAAGGAAATAGAGAATACGTTGAATTATTTGATATATATTGGGAAGTCCAAACATTAGGCAGTGTATTTTTAAACCACCTTAACTTCTTATGTCTCTGATTTATCTGGGAAAAGCAGCAGGTTGAAAGTGATCTGCGTGTGGATGCCTGCATCTGTTATTACTGTGTTTGTTCAAATGGATTTTTATTTTCTAGTTATTTATTGTTGTTTGCTCCTGCCTCGTGCCCAACCCAGTTACCAAAAATCTAATTTTCTAATGACGTCATTATCTCTATAGCAGCTGGTCTTGATAAAAGATTCTAAAAGTCCAGTAGATCAGAAGCAGCAGCAAATGAATTTAGAAGAAACAGAAATTTTGTGTATGTTTTTATTTCCTTTTGAAGTATGAGATGTGGAAGTGATTTTTAAACTCTAGTTTGATATAATTTAGGATATTTATATAACATTCAGAACTACTTTGTGGATTTTCTGAGTCTTTACAATACTTATCGATAGTAGTGTTTTCGTAAATTCTGAATGGGAGCATGGAGAGCACTACTGAGCCCCAAATACTGATAGTTCTCTGTGAGAATCAACTCCATTAGGATGGCTTCTTTGCCTGCCCCCTCCTCCTCTTTCCACTTACCTTGTCCTTGTTCTTGGTGTATCTTCACATCTGTTCTCCACTGAATAAAAAATTTAAATCTGTCTCTGGTGTCTCAGTTGAAGAATTAAAAAAAAAAAAAAAAACCCTCACTAATGAATAGATATTGAATACCAATTTACAATGCTACCCTTTAAGAAGGGATTTTCAACTTTCTGAATAATGTTGGAATAACTTGTGGCATTGTTTGGTTTGGCGAATCCTATAATGAATCCTGTAATATATAAAGATGGCATTGCATCTCTTAATGAGATTAAGTTATAATGGAAACTTTTCCACCCTTCACTCCTACCCACAAAGCCTGTTTTCTGCCTTTTTCAGTTCCCTGAAAACCTTCGGCCTGCCATTGGTTATTGCTGCCACCTAATGTCTCAAAATAAAATTGCAGTGGGTTGCTTTTTCCAAAAGATCGCACTATTGTGCAGTTTATGGAAATAACTATTCGAGAGCAACAGTTGTTTTTCCTCTACATTCTAAAATAATTGCACCCTGAAGTGGTTACTGATTCTAGAGATTATGGGTCACGTATATTCCATCAGCAAAGGTGCAAATACTAAAACAGGAAGAGATTTGAGAGTCCTAATCCTTACTGTAGGACATTTTGCCAGTGTGACATTGACGTTAACTTGCACTCGTAAAACTGGGATCGATATTCTGACAGATCTGTTCTGGCTTTAACATTTTTCTTGTGTATTTTTGGATATGAAAGTGTAGCCCTCCTACATGATACTTTTTATTTGAGCTGAAGGTTTCAGTGTTGACCAGGTTTTCTGTTAGAGCTGTGTTAAGTAGATGCTCATGTTTTTATTGTGTGAGTAGATAGATGCTTTGATAGCTTTTCTTTGCTCAATTAGCAGAGACAGATCTGAAGATTTTCTATTGTTAATGCATCCTTCACCATGGTAACACTTCCTGCTTGCGTAGTTATTCAGTTATCCGTGGGCTTCCTTAGCTCGACTTTGTACTTGTAGTACATGTTGCAAAGACTGCAAAATCTACTCTGCTGCTTATAAAGTTCCCAGATTTTTTTTAAAAACCTAGTCTGAATTTTAAGATTTATAATTATATTCTTCAGTTTTCTTCAGCATTTTGAAATAGAGTATTAATTTTTTCATGGAATAGAAAGGAGTCTGAAGACAGAAAGTTTGCTAGATATGAGAGAATGAAGGGAGATGGAGTTTCTTGCATATGATGGAAAATTTGAAAACATCCTGATGAATATTACAATTTAGCAAAAGCTTTCTTCAAGGATTCTATTATCTTAAACTGACTGTGTAAAGAATATTTTGTTTATGTGTAGCATTTTAACAAATATTTTTGGTTGTCGCTCTTTCTCTTACTGACACTGTAAATTAGTTATTCATCCTTTATAATTCTGTACATGGTTAAAGCAAAGTCAAGTGAATATAAAGCCTTACCTTCAACTAGTTTTGGCTTAATTGTTAACAGATCTTTTATAGAATTGATTCCTAGAACCCCTGGTTAGTGGAGACCCTACTGAATAGAATAAAAAATGGATTTGGATCTGCTCTTATTAATTATGTTTAGATACTATCCCTATTCAGATGGGCATGAATCCTAATTAAATACAGTTTGCCTTGCCATTATCCTATACTTACAGACTTTCAGATAGGTTTCGGTGATCTTGTTCAAGCCATTATGACCAAATTGTGCTAGTAAAATCTTGAGACTGTCAGCCTCAAGCAACTGGCTTACTGCCAAATATAGAACCCTTCTTGAGTTCCTTTGAACTACTAATTTATCAGGTTTATCTAGCACAATTTCTTTTAAGCTTTAGCAGCCTGATCATAATTTTATTATTTTTTTGCTACTGAAACCTTTCTTTTCTGATACTTTACAGTTTTATTAAATATTACTATCGGATATCTGTTTATTATCCAATTATTACTTATTTTTTTTCCGAATTGAATAGTGGATGTAGGCATATGATGGCTTTAATGTGGTGGTTAAGAGCCTCGCCTCTGAAGTCAAATTTCCTGAGTTTGAATTCCTTCTCTATAACCTTGGGTGAGTTATTTAACTGCTGTAAACTTCAGCTTCTAATATGTAAAAGGCAGATAATAATAGGAACTACCTAATATAATTGTCGTGATGATTAAATACAGATATTTAGATAATCCATTTCATTATTTATTTGGCTTGAATAAATTCTAAGATATTTTATTCATATTTGATTCCTACACATGTTCCTTATTCTGGGTTTGTCTTTGTCTTTACAGAGCTAAGGAAACCATAGGCTATCTGAGTACTCATCACGTACCCAATTGTGTATAAATTTATTCATAGCTTCTCAATTGTCTTGTAGCCCCAATTTTAGGTTAAGTGATCGAGAAGTGGGAATACAAGGAAGACTAAGATCTGATCTGGACTTTCAAGGCCTTATGGGCTAGTAGGGAAGGATGGTGTACTGGGGACATTTAGTATGATGCACTCTCCTGGCCTCCACAGAGAAACCTTTTCTTACTTCCTGGACAGGATCAGACTCTCCAGGTATAGGCTCCCACGGCACCCTGTACTGTGTAATGAAATAATTGTTTTAATCCTTTTTGTTTAGTGCCTTTCTTCTCCCTCTTGATTGTATGTTTCGTGATGCCAGAAACTGACTTTTCTTTCTGGTTTTGTTGGATGATTAAATGAGCACACATATTAGAGATGAAGAAACTGAGATGCGTATCATACAGTGATATGTACATTTTCTGAAATAGTTATAAGTAGAACTCAAGTTTCCAGTCTCCTACACTGCAGTATGTGCCGCCTTTTTAAAAATTATACTATGAAAAATTAAGACCCAGAGGAAGTTAAACAACATCTACAAATAACTATCACAGAGGCAAAATATACATAGTCTAGGGGGTATGGAAATTGGGAAGTGATTATAAGTTCTTTTGTTGCGAGTTGGGTGGTAGATACAAGAGAAGACATTTGAACTGTACATACACTGATAGATTTTGGATAGAAAGGTATGGCAAAGGTCACTCCATCCATAAACACTGTGTCATCAAATATTATTTTAGCCCTGCAATCTTTAATCTCATTATTTTAGTAAGTCTATAAAATTATATATGTTAGCCAACTAATGATCTCGTCTTATTTCAGTGAACAACGTGGGAATGTCATATCAGCATCCTGAATACTTTCTGGAAATTCCTAACTTGGACGATGTAAGTCTGTCTTCGTATATTATGGTAACAAAAGGAGTGCGTACAGGTATTGGGGAGGCAATATGGTCTCAGGCTGCAAGGTACATACCCTGGCTGTTCTGTTTGCTGCCTGAGTTACTCTGAGAATTTATCTCAACCATACTTAGTGTCTGTTCCCTCACCCATAAAATAGACAACTTCACAGTGATGTTAGAAAGATTGAATGAGAAAATACTTATAACTTCATTTGTACAGTGCCAGGCTCAGTAATAACTCTAGTTCTGTTATTCTTATTTTTATTATATCAAAACAGCTGTTTTAAGTATTAGGATTCTAAACTCCAATCTAAAAACTATAAATGTGTTAATATATAGCAATATACTAGTTGATTCAGGTAAACTAGCTCTACCAAAATGAAAGCTATATCCTTGATGCATAATTCTTTAATAAAAACTAGAAAAACGTATCATTGAAGGAATATGTAATTTTTTTTGAAATTGTTGAAAATCTGAGATTCAATCATTTCTCCTTTTCATATTATCAGAGGAAATTGCAGTATGTTCCTGTTTATTTTAGATTATGTCTGTCTTTGCTTTCAGATTTTATTTGCACACATACCTTGGATTTTGCATATTAGCATGAATTGCTGCTTTTGATAGAAAGGTACTATAGCATTGAGAGTAAAATAAAACGTGTCTCTCCACCCCAACTCTAATTCTTTCCCAAGGTCTCCACTGTATCTGGGAAAACTTTCAATGCATCTCTAGGTCCCTTATGTATATATCTAATACAGTCATTTCCATGGTCAAGTCTATATAAACATCAATATTTTTTTTTGCAGACCATCAAGAAACTGTTATTTATTAATGTTCTTTCTGTTTGTAAGGTAAGCAGTTTTTTTTTTTTTTTTTTTTGTATCAATTTATCATTTGTTTTTGGTTCTTTCTATTTAACAACACTGACATAATCAGTTTGTTCATTTCCATCAACTCTTGTTTTGGTATAAGTGTGTATTCTAGTCTATTTCCTTATATCTTCAGGAAGTAGAAAGAACTCAGTACCAAACAGGTGTGTGTATAATTTTGCTTTTTAACAACTGCTTCCTCTATGCAAACACTGTGGTAGGCCCAGGGACTACACACAATGAGACTGAAGATTGATTTATGCCAAGTTTTTATCTACATGCCATGCATCACTGATAAATTGTTTCCGTTCTGTGTTTCCTGTGATACATGTTAGTTGATTAAATGTTGTGATAAAGGATTGTATGGGAAGTATAGGACTATAAAGTAATGGGTGGTTTTTACTAGTCACACATAAAAACTGCTCCATTTTCTAGTTGCTAGACATGCATTATAGCCACATCACTTGTATATACTGACAAAAGACACCACAGCTAATTTATGCTAAAAGGAAGACTAGCTAGCAAATACGAACATCTGAGTACCATTTTTCTTTGTATTTTAACAGTAATTACAATAAGATACCAAACCTTGATTATATATACTAGACCATCAGAAAATATTGTCTGAGGCAAACTTTCCATGGGCAATGTCAGATACTTTAAATTTGAACAAACTGATGGAAAGCCAGATCCACTTTCAATAACTCTTATGTACTAGTTTAAGGAAATCAAAAAATATTTAACTCAAAATGATGAGAATTAACCAGATAAATATAAATAAGAACTTAATTATTAATTTTCATTTGATGGTATAGTCTTGATCTTTTTCTCTCTTGTATAAAGAAAAATGCTTGAGTCTTCATGTTCTGGGAAACCATAACCCTTATACAGTTTTCAAGTCCAAGAGCCCTGAAATCTTGTGCCTTATTCAACTTTTCATATGTGGCTGTGTTTCTCCTTGCGTAATATGTATGTTGCTTTTAAAGTGGTTAGTTAATTCAGTTTTTATATGATTTTATATAATTTTATCAATACAGTTGATTCAGATAAACCAGCTCTGCCGTAATGAAAGCTACACCCTTCACGCATACCACATAACATTGGCAGCTTACTGCTTAAAGGCACCTCAAATGAATTATATTTGCCAAGTAATTTTATAAAGCAAATAATTACTATCTTTTTTGTTGTTATTAACCAAGGTTTTTTCTCACAGAAGATTTAGCTTAAGTGAGGTAAACTACCAACAAGGATCTGTGAGTAGATGTGGAGCAAGAGGAAAAGCACAAAATTCATGCTTTTAAAACATGGATAATGTGAATATATCTGTGCAGTTTTAAAGATATTTCCCTTGGCGTGTTTATATAAACGTGATTATCCTTTAATAATCTGTATGAGGTTTCAAGCTAATTAGATAACGCCCTCATTTACTAGTTATATGGCCTTGGGCAAATTAGTTATTCTCTGCTTCAGTTTTTCATCTATAAATCAAAGATGATAATTCTTTTTACCTAATAGAATTGTTTTGCGAATTAAACAAGGTAACACATATAAACCTTTTAGAATAGTGCCCAGATTATAGTAAGAGCTCTAAAATGTGTCTATTATTATTTAATTGAGTTCAGAGCTGATAAAGATTTTTAGTGAATATGTACGTCTATAACTTTATTTTTAACAAGCAAAGTTTTTTGATGAAAATTAATATTCTAGGCCATAATATTTATGTTTTGTGGTTTTGCCTTTTGAAATGACTGTGAAGTACTATTATTTTGATAAATTTTTCTACTACATTTGGCCAAATGCTTAAAAATAATGAGTATTAAAACTATGTACATGTGTATCATTATATATTCTGTATTTTCTTCCGCTTGTTAATACTTATGTGTTTGTATAATCTGATAGTATAAAACCCTGGCCCTCCCTGTGTCCCAGAGCATACGTTTTTGACGTTTTTGGCCGACAGTATACAGAATACTAATGATAAAAGGCCAAGGTCCTGACCTTGATCTGTGAGAACCAGTCAGCTTGCTGTGCTCCTTGGCCACACACTGCATCCTTCAAGCAGCATCTGAGCACAGATCAGCATGTGCTGGTGGTGATCACCTCCCGTCCCTGCTTAAAGATGATTAGTGCAGGGGGAAATGTGGATAAAGTGGCACAAATCCAATAGCACTGTAGAGTACCTTTCAGTTTGTTGATGATAATGATGAAATAAAAATGAGCCACCAGTCTTAATATCTTGGGCAAATTATAAAATACTTCTCCTTCCTCTTTATTCTTCCCCTTCTACTCCCGCCCCCCCCCCCCACATTGGCATATATACTTGTTCCCATGAAATCAGTTAGTGGAGACAAATGCTAAATTATTAAAAATACCGAATCATGTATTGTGAACCATATTGATGGGAAGTATCACCAGTAGAACTGGATATATGCCTAAAATTTTTGTATGTAAACGTCTTTTTGCAAATCAGATTCTACTTACAGAGCACTAAGAGGGCTTGCTATTTAAAACACTTCTTCCTTAAGCCAAATAATCATTCTTTATCTTTAGTGTAAATATGAATTTTCCTGTCCCTTTGTGATATGCACTTTTACTGGAAAAACAATTCAAAACTCTTGATTTATTCATCATGGAGTTAATATCTGGAGGACAGCCAGTTTTTTTGTTGTCGTACTATAGGCGAGATCACTGTAGTTAACATCTCCGTAACACAGTTGACTAGTGACTGTTCAGTTATGAAAATCGTTTCACTCACAATGGGAGGTGAGTGGTGTGCAGTAGGTAACCTGAAGGCCAGAAAAGTAAGCTAGGACATGACTGTGCAGGAACTTGAGTTCTGTGCTCAAGAGGATGGAGAGCCATAGAAAGCTTTAAAGTAGAAATAAGGTGTGATCTGTTCTGCATTTTAGAAAGGCATTTCTAGTGGCAGAGGGACATGGCAATGTGTATTTCCTATTATATGTGTTTGTCTTATTTATACCGAAAAAAGGGCACTCACCTTGATGAAGTTTTGTGTGTGGTGCTCCCAGGTTTAGTGTTCTTTTGTGCTGCTGTCATATGCCCTGTGGTATATTTTGATGAACTGTTCCTATTGTCCTGTTATTGACTATGTTGTGTTGTCAGGGCCAGGGCTACATTTTCAGTAGCAATGGCGTTTAGAGCCCTAGGGTAACTTAAAAGATGAGAGTTGGTCTGGCTCTAGAATCTTACAAGATTTTATGGTGGCTAGACATCAGGGGAGCTGGGGCATGGATGTCTGAAGGCTAATGCCCCAATAAATGCATTGACAAGGTTTTTATAAGAAAGAGATCTACCTCTTCTCCCCATCAGTGTTGGTCCAAATATTATCTCCTCACCAAACCACGTGATAGTCTTTCCTGGCTGTGAAGCATGCCAGGAATTAGCTTGCCCTTGTGACCTTGTGCTTGTGTCTCTAACTTGGAGATGTGTGCTCGGTGGGGCCCCAGCATCGTATTATAAGTTCTGTGCTATGCCATGAGCAGTAAATGACCTGGCTTTACATTCCTTCAGGTCCAGGATTATTGCTTGGTTCATGAGCTCCTGTCCTATATCAATAGGTCAGATGATTGTAAAAGTCACATAAATCCCATATTCCAACAGAAGAATAATAAAAATGAAATATCCTGACCAAAGGAATTGTAGGTCGTCACCAGACAAAGTGGTAGTGAGCGATCCAGAAGAATGTTAAGGAAGAAATATTAATGGGAGTGTTTTTGCCTGTGGACCCTGATGTTTAATCATAGATTCCAGTTTAGGCCACTGAGCTCTCCAGTTCCATCTGATCGTTTCACTTTTCATTTTATCTAATAATTTATTTCTTTAGATTTAGTCCTTTCTTTCCCTCTCAGTGACTTACTTAACCAAGCTTTCCTTTTACCAGGCTTAATACTGTTAGTTGAGGCAACCCAAGGGATGTTTAGAAGCCTTGTTGCCTGCTTTTCCAGTTTTGCTCCCAAATCCTTCAGGGTTAAATTTAGTCTTGTTCCCCTCAGAGCAGAGAACTGCCAAGGAGAGAACAGTGGTGTGGAAATTCTACATAGGTGACCAATATGGCAGATAGATTGGCCTTAAGCTGGAAGAAAAGTCCTATAGCTAGGGCTTTTTTCTTGTGATTTCCGATGCTCGGTGACTAAAATCTAAGATAATGACCTTGAGACCAGAAACAGTGGAATTTAGAGATAATTAAACTTCCAGATATTGAACCACACTCTTCCAAAATAGTTCTGGTCTTATGCCTGGAGGGCTTCCCATCTCAGAGTACTGAGAGAATTTGCAAATGAAATTGTCATACTGCTATTGATTACTATTAGAGAAATCACGGAAAAGGGGGAGAAGTGCCACAACTCCAGAGAAAAGTAAATACAAGACCTATTTCAGATAGTATGTTGAACGTCACACCAATCCAAAGACAAGTTCTAAAATGATCTTGTGTTGTTTCTGATTTGTTTTAGCATTTGCCAGACTTGGAGTTGCCTGCCTTCTCTAGGTGTGCTTTTTGATTTCTTTAATGACAGTTTTAGGACCTTAAGACACCATAGACTCTTCAGTCCTTTTCAAATGGACACTGCCCAAACAATAAACCTGAACTGCTTGCAACTCCCTAAGGGTGAGAAAGCCATTACTTCCGACGGTACTGGACTCTGAAGCTACTTCTGGGCTTGGTGAATAAGGTGGAAAATAGAGAGTGGCCCTGCCTATCCCCAGATGCCTTAGGAAATTCCCAGGCTACCGTTCTGACAAATGGAGGGGATGTTTCAGTCTTCCTTCTTACCTTTTTTAGAGCAGAGAAGAGAGTATGTGAGGGTGTGGCTCAAGGTAAAATTTATCAACAACCTCTGCGTATAGTGACCACTGAGTTTTGATTGCTTTAGGGTAGGGAGGGGGAGTCTTAAGCAGGGGTTCATAATTTAGTTTTTTCTTCATCAGATACTCAACGAAAGTCAAGACTTGAAACTATGTCT